GGTAGATAAGATACAGGTCTACCTTTTGCAGTTTCTGGGGTAATGCTAGTAGCAAGTAAGTTTCTGGGGAGAATGGTATGGTAAGTCTTGTGGATGACGTAATGATATTAGAGATGCTACCCCAGAAGGGTTTTAGTTTTGGACATGTCCACCAGGCCCGGACTGGCCATCGGGCACACCGGGCAAATGCCCGGTGGGCCGCGATGGCCGTGGGGCCGAGGCCGGCAGGGGAGATCACAGGATCTCCCCTGCCAGCCCGTGCAGGGCCAGCGCTATCCGAGCGCCGGACCCGCTGTGTGCCTCCATGGGCCGGTGGGGAGATCACAGATCTCCCTCACCGGCCCACAGGCACTGTTACATGCGGCCGCCGGCTGGGTGAGGGAGGGATGGAGGAGAGAGGACCCGGCGGAGCTCTAACCAGCAACTCCGCCCGGTCCTCTCGCGGGATTCTGAGCGTTGCCGCGGCTCAGATCTCGCAAGAGTGAACTCTAACCCACAGATTAGAGTTCACTCTCACCACTGGACCACCAGGGAAGCCAGCATGGTCCCCCCTCAAGGCTCCTCCTCCCAGGCAGAACGGCTCCCTCCCCCTCCCAGGCTAAAGGTAAGAAGGGAGGGGGGGGGGACATAACTTTTTTTTTTAATTATTAATAATTATTAATTATAATAATATTATAATTATTAATAAAATAAAAAATATATATTTAAAATAATTTCCCTAACAGCCCCCCCCAGACACACACAGCCCCCCCCAGACACACACAGCACCCAGACACACAAAGCACCCAGACACACACACAGCCCCCCAGACACACACAGCCCCCCAGACACACAGCCCCCCACAGACACACAGCCCCCAGACACACACAGCACCCCCCAGACACACACAGCACCCCCCAGACACACACAGCCCCCAGACACACACAGCACCCCCAGACACACACAGCACCCCACAGACACACAGCACAGACACACACAGCACCCAGACACACACAGCACCCCACAGACACAGCACCCACAGACACAGCCCCCAGACACACACAGCACCCAGACACACAGAGCACCCCATAGACACACACAGCACCCCACACACACAAACACAGCACCCCACAGCACCCCCACACAGCCCCCCACAGACACACACAGCGCACCCCCAGACACACACAGCTCACCCCCAGACGCACACAACACCCTCAGACAGACAGCACCCTCACTCCCACACATATACAGCACATATATTATATAAAAAAAACCCTCAGTGAGTTAACAAAGACAAATAAAATTAGAAACCCAGAATGTGACGGCAGATAAAAACACCCTCACACACAGCACCCCTCTTACACAAACACGCTGCGCACCTCACACATACAATACGTCCAAATATATTTTATATATATATAATATATATATATATATATATATATATATATATACAAAAATCAAAACTGAGGATGCACTCACAGGACTTAAAGTGAAAAAAAGGGACTTTTAATTATTCCATGTGAATGGAAAATTGATTTTTCTGTACATTTCACATGGAATAATTAAAAGTCCCTTTTTTTCACTTTAACCAAGTCCTGTGAGTGCATCCTCAGTTTTGATTTTTGTATATTTCTGACGTTTGGGATATAGCACCCAGGCTATTAGTTCTTTCTTATTACTTAAAGGAGAGTGCCAAACATCCTGTTTTTTTTAGATTATATATATATATATATATATACACACACACACACACACTACAGCACCCCTCACACTGCACCACTACACACATTACGCTCTAGATACACGCTAGATCCCTTACCCTATATGCACTCTTAATCCTCTACACACACACACAATCTTCTATATACACTCTGAGTCATTTACACACTAGATCTCTTACACACACACTACATTCCTTGTATGCAAACACATACAACATTCTCTAAACACACCCTCTCTACACACAGTAGTGTGTGTGTATAAGTGACACACACTACGTCACCTATACACACACACTACTGCCCGTATGCACACACTCGCTACATCCCCTATAACACTATGCCCCCTATACACGCACTCTCTACAGCCCCTAGCCACACATATTACACCACAAAATTGACCTATTTACACAATACCACACCACACTCTACACACAGGCAATCCCACAAGCATGCGCCAAACACATGCACCATACACTTTCCTGGCACTTTTGTCCTCTGGTATCCCACTTATGGAGATACCAGAGACAATTTAAAAGCAAACACAGCGCAAGCATGTTATTACATTTGCTTGCACTGCGCAGAACAAATACAGGGCCTTTTTCTAATGCCAGAGCTCTTCAGCGGGGCTCTGCGCATTGAACCAACATGCTCACTTTCTCTGGCCCCGCCCCCTTTTTGGGGGGCCGCTCTAATTGAAAAATGCCCGGGCCTAATTTTTTTCCCAGTCCGGCCCTGATGTCCACCATATGAGGAGCATTGTACCAGGCTCTTTTAGGCACCTCCAGCAAGCCTCTGACTTCCGTCTATCATATTTGTGTAATTTAGTCGGTACCATGTACCAGCGATATAACACTTTCCTACTAGTCTCTATATGGGACGTATTCAGCGTTAGATGTTTATGAGCAAACAACATTTTGGACCAGTCTTCGTTGGGTATATCTGTGTTCAGCTCTCGTTCCCAAGCTTGCACAAAGTGTAATGTTTTTGGTGATGCCTGGGTTCTAGATGTTTTATATAGAAGAGATAGCAGTTTTTGCGGCTGTTTATTGGTTACGCATAGTTTTTCGATCACAGATAGCGTAGTGTCCTGTTGGTGCGTCTTATCTACATTGACGTGTTTCCCCACCCACGAGTGTAGTTGTAAGTAAGCAAAATAGGCTCTGGGGGGTAAATCAAATGTGTTAGAGAGCGAGTCATAGGTCAGCAAGTGGCCATCCGGCATTATCTGGGATAGGCATTTGATCCCATGGTTATACCATAGACCGTGGTCAAATCCAGGGATAAGGACATGTAATGCTTGGACTTGCAGTGCCGAAGAGATATATGAGACAGGGTAGTGTTTTTTAACATATCTATCCCACACTGCGAGTGTAGCTGCCGTGGTGGGGCAGGCGTTCAGGTATCGTGGCCTTTTATGTTTGGGAATCCAGGCCAGGGTGGATAATGACATTCCGCCAGTGTGTACCATTTCTATTTGATGCCATGGCGGCGGTATAGTGTGGTGGAAGGTCGCCATGAGGGCACTCATTAGGGCCGCTGTATAGTATCCCATGATCTCTGGTGCCCCCATCCCTCCCTCCTTAAAGGATTTATACATGGTGGCTGCTGCCACTCTAGAGCGTTTCCCTCCCCAGATAAACCCATTTAGTAGGCGTTGGGCTTCAGTAAAAAATCTCTTTGGTAGGTGGATTTGGAGTGTTCTAAATAAGTATGTAGCTTTGGTAGTATCATCATTTTTGCTGCCGCTATCCTACCTGTCCAGGAGATATATTTCCCCTTCCAACTGTGTAGTTGTTGTTTAACATTACTAAGTAATGTAAGGTAGTTCGCTTTGTACAGCTTTCTAATTGTGGGTGTGAGGCGAATTCCCAGGAATGTCAGGTGGTCCCTTCTCCAGTCGTATGTGTGTCTGCCTTGTAGGTTAGTGAGTTGCTCCGCGGTGAGATTAAGGCCCATGGCTTGTGTCTTACTGATGTTAAGTTTATAGTAGGAACAATTGCCAAACTGTGTTAGCATATTTTGGAGTTGCGGTAGTGAGGTGTCAGGATGCGATACGGTGAGCATCACATCGTCGGCAAACAGGGTGATCTTGTGCGTTTTCCCCCCTATAGTAATCCCCTTAATGTCGGGGGAATCCCTTATTCGTTGTGCTAGGGGTTCTAATGCCAGTATATGTAATAGTGGAGAGAGCAAGCAGCCCTGCCGGGACCCGTTGGAGACCTGGAACGGTTTGGAAATAAAGCCTCCGTTTGCTATTTTTGCTGTGGGGTTATCGTACAGCGCTGAAATTAATGTAATGAAGCCCTCTGGGAAGGCGAACTTCCTCAATACTGCCTCCAGGTATCCCCAGTGTAGCCTGTCGAACGCTTTCTCAGCATCTAACGACAGTGCCACACTAGGTTCTCCCGATGTCTGGATGTTGTGGAGGATGTTAACCAGTTTCCTGGTTCCATCCGAGCCCTGCCTGCCCCGTACAAAGCCCACCTGGTCGTCCCGAATTATTCTGGGAAGGATTGTTCCTAATCTATTAGCGTATATTTTTGCTATTATTTTTAAATCTGTATTTAGGAGCGATATAGGTCTTAAATTCTGGCATTTGTGTGGTGGCTTCCCAGGTTTTGGTAGAGTGGTTATGTGGGCCAACAGCATCTCTTGCAGTATTTTGCCTGTCTTGAGGATAGTATTGTAGAGTTTTTCTAGTGTAGGGGTAAGATGTGAGAAAAGGTTTTGTAATATGCATTGATAAAGCCATCTGGGCCAGGAGATTTCCCCTTTGGGAGTGCTTTGATTGTGCTTGTTATTTCATTCTGAGTAATGGGTTCTTCCAAGAAGGACCGGTCTACTTGTGTAAGTTGTTGTGTGTGGGCTTCTGCTAGGAAAGTGTTGATGTCCGAGATAAGTGGCTGGTATGTATGTTCATCCTTTTTTAGGTTGTATAACGCGTCGTAATAGTCTGCTAACATATCATTGATGTCACAGGGGTTGTACACCTTGTTTCCTAGTGGGTTTATAAGGAACGGTATTTTTGAATTTTGCCTTTTTTAAGAGAGCTGCTAAGGTTTTCCCTGCTCTGTTTCCCTGTGTGTACGTTCTGAGTTTGAGCCTGTGGGTTATAGTGGCTGTCGTGTGGAGATGAATGTCATTTAATCGTTTTTTGATTTGGTCTATGTTCTGTTGCGTGGTGGTAGACGAGCTTAGTGCGTGTGTAGATGTTTCGTCCCTGAGCTGTCTCATGAGAGTTATGTATTCTGTCTTTGCCTGCTTATTTAGATAAGATGCCTGGCTGATCATGAGACTGCGGATGAATGCCTTATGCGTCAGCCACGTTGTGGCTAAAGAGACCTCAGGTGTGTCGTTTATAGCGAAGAACGATGTGATTTCTTCAGTAAGTTTACTGGTAAAATTAGGGTTGTGTAGAAGAGCTTCGTTCATGCGCCACAGCGATGATATGCGGGATTGAAATTGATCTGTTAAGGTCAGCATTACTGGGGCATGATCAGACCAAACTATATCTCCTATTTCACTTCTCAGAGCATTCGACATTATGTCACCCGAGACGAATATAAAATCAATTCTGGAGTATGTTTTATGTACTGAGGAGTAAAAGGTGAATTCCCGATCATTCGGGTGTTGTGCTCTCCACACATCATATAGATTGTGTTCCATAAGGAGTTTTATCAATGTTGTGGCCTGTTTGTTTAATATTTTACATCTTGAAGACTCAGCCGACTGCGTGGTATCTAGTCTGGGCTGCATGATGTGGTTTAGGTCCCCACAAAGAATTGTGGAGGAAGGGTAGGTAGTGGGAATTTTGTGTAAAACTTTCTGGAGAAAGTTCCTCTGGTCAGTATTAGGGCTATATATCCCCACTAGTGTGTACAAGGCGTTATTGATTTTGCAGTGCATTATTAAATAGCGGCCCTGTGTATCTTTTTTGAGATTCAGGAGTTCAAATGTGACTGAGGCATGAATAAGGAAGGAGACACCCCTAGATTTAGATGAATAGGTGGAGTGGTATTGCGTAGGGTAGTCCTTGCTCGCAAATATGGGTACCCTGTTGTGTACAAAATGTGTCTGCTGTATGCACAATATGTCTGTTTTGGTGCGGTTTGCGTCTTCAATGAGGAGCCTCCTTTTGTGTGGTGTATTTATGCCTCGGGTATTAATAGTCAGTATCTTCATCATTTGTGATTAAGTACGGAACAATGCTGTAAAGGAAATTCAGTGTTAAACTATCTTTCCCTTCACATAGAGGAAGGGGTCGTTGTAGTATTAGTGTCAATAATTGAGGTGGGCTGGGATCAAGCCCATTATTGTATAGTAATACGGGGGCATATAAGTGGTGGTGTTGGGCAGGATTCTTATTTGTCCCTTTAGAAGTTTGTAGCCGATCACGGGTATCTTGGGGTAGGGGAGATGAACTAGGGGAAGAAGTTTGAACTATGTACAGAATTTCTCCCGTGGAGACAGTGTGTGGTTGTGCCATATCCTGGGGGTGGAGGAGAGAACTCTCTACCATGAGCGTGGCTACCTTGATGAGCTGCATCTGTGTCCCTTTAAGTTAATGCATTATCTGCCTTAATTATATCACAGGCAGAGGGGAGAGTTTGTGTACTGTATGTGGGAGTGTCATTCATTGTTACATTGTTTCTATTGGCTTGTACACTTTGTGTCCCTGTGCAAAACAAGGTCCACCTGGGCGTCACCTTTGTTGGGAAACCTGCATAAAAGGCCAGTGTGCCTCCATTAAAATTGAATTCCTGTTTTACCCTCAGCATAGAGCCTTGTCTCATGTGTGGGGGAAAAGGCTGCATTTACCCTGGGGATTGCTATATCACAATACTTCCCTGGGATTATAATCACTAAATGCTTTTAAGAGATGTTCCTGTTACACTCTCTTGGAGGTTAGGTTCACCCACTGAAAGCTGGATCCTGGTCTTGGGTCCAGAGTGGGTGGAGAACGGCGAGTTCCCAGCCAAGCTGTAACGCTGGACGTGGGAACTGCGCTGTTGATGGTGTCTGGTGGAGTGCTTGGGGACTTCGTTGAGCACTAGGAGCATCCGTCAGCGGAGGTACCCAACCGGGGTACAGGAAGCTCCGTTACAAACTACATTTCCTTTCAGACAAAGAACTGAGATCCTATTCATCTGTATATCAACGGTCACCACATACGGTTCTTGTTAAGATAATGATGCATGAAGAATTGTTGATATTGACCTTTGACCCACCATTGCAAGCCAGACTCCCTGAAAGCATTCATTCATTTAATGTGTATAGCCCTTTGTGTAACTCATACATATAATGTATGGCTTTAATTATAGATTGGACAGAATGGTTAAGCCCCCTTTTTTCTATGATAGCCACTTATTTTAAAGTATCAGTAAAACCTTATGTGTGCGTCCCTTAGAAACTGAATTTAGACATAAAATCTGTTGCAGTTACAATTTCTTTACCAATTTCTTTACCAACATCAAAGATGGATACTATCTTGAAGTGCTTTTTACACATTGCTCTGTATTGGTCCAGATGTGTGCATTGACGTATGCTATTTCAGATGTTGTGTATGTTTGAATAAATATAAATTTTTTGGATGCAAAACGCTTTGATTCAATTATTATAACACTGGTGTGTGACAAACGAATATTCCAAGAAAGGCTAATTTCCTACAGTACCCATCCCACAGGTACATCCTAATGTGGGGCCAAACTGTACCTGGCCCACCCGGCAATTGCAGAACCGGCCCCTGTCTTGCCACTACAGGATACAGTCTCTCCGCGCCTGGCCGCACCAGTGCTCGAGAGCCCGCCCCCACCCGCTCAGGGTTTTAGTGCGCAGGCGCCGCAATTGGCGGCAAAACCAGCGCCATTCCCGTAAGGGAGGATATTTTCCACAGAAATTAATTGTATACCAGAGCAAGCAGGTGTTTAATGTGCATCATCACTATTATCATACGGGATGTCTTATTAGCACCTTCTTCACCTACTACTTAGCGCTGACCATTTGCGTAACTGCTGAACGCTGACCATTTTGCACTATTGCTGAGCGCTGACCATTTGCGTAACTGCTGAGCGCTGACCATTTTGCGTTACTGCTGAGCGCTGACCATTTGTGTTACTGCTGAACGCTGACCATTTGCGTAACTGCTGAACATTTTGCACTATTGCTGAGCGCTGACCATTTGCGTTACTGCTGAGCGCTGACCATTTTGCGTTACTGCTGAGCGCTGACCATTTGTGTTACTGCTGAACGCTGACCATTTTGCACTATTGCTGAGCGCTGACCATTTGCGTAACTGCTGAACATTTTGCACTATTGCTGAGCACTGACCATTTGCGTTACTGCTGAACGCTGACCATTTTGCACTATTGCTGAGTGCTGACCATTTGCGTTACTGCTGAGCGCTGACCATTTGCGTTACTGCTGAGCGCTGACCATTTGCGTAACTGCTGAACGCTGACCATTTTGCACTATTGCTGAACGCTGACCATTTTGCACTATTGCTGAGCGCTGACCATTTTGCACTATTGCTGAGCGCTGACCATTTGCGTTACTGCTGAACGCTGACCATTTTGCACTATTGCTGAACGCTGACCATTTTGCACTATTGCTGAGCGCTGACCATTTTGCACTATTGCTGAGCGCTGACCATTTGCGTTACTGCTGAACGCTGACCATTTTGCGTTACTGCTGAGCGCTGACCATTTTGCGTTACTGCTGAGCGCTGACCATTTGTGTTACTGCTGAACGCTGACCATTTTGCACTATTGCTGAGCGCTGACCATTTGCGTAACTGCTGAACATTTTGCACTATTGCTGAGCACTGACCATTTGCGTTACTGCTGAACGCTGACCATTTTGCACTATTGCTGAGTGCTGACCATTTGCGTTACTGCTGAGCGCTGACCATTTGCGTTACTGCTGAGCGCTGACCATTTGCGTAACTGCTGAACGCTGACCATTTTGCACTATTGCTGAGCGCTGACCATTTTGCACTATTGCTGAGCGCTGACCATTTGCGTTACTGCTGAACGCTGACCATTTTGCACTATTGCTGAGCGCTGACCATTTGCGTTACTGCTGAACGCTGACCATTTTGCACTATTGCTGAGCGCTGACCATTTGAGTTACTGCTGAACGCTGACCATTTGCGTTACTGCTGAACGCTGACCATTTTGCACTATTGCTGAGCGCTGACCATTTGCGTTACTGCTGAACGCTGACCATTTGCGTTACTGCTGAACGCTGACCATTTTGCACTATTGCTGAGCGCTGACCATTTGCGTTACTGCTGAACGCTGACCATTTGCACTATTGCTGAGCGCTGACCATTTGAGTTACTGCTGAACGCTGACCATTTTGCACTATTGCTGAGCGCTGACCATTTGCGTTACTGCTGAACGCTGACCATTTTGCACTATTGCTGAGCGCTGACCATTTGCGTTACTGCTGAACGCTGACCATTTTGCACTATTGCGGAGCGCTGATATTTATTTTAGTTTAGTCATTATTGTTGGTAAATTGTTTTTGTAGCTCTGTATTTATTGGTATTTTACTAATAGCAATTTTCAATCCCTAGGAAATCATTATGTCAAAAAGAAAAATTTACTCTGAGGGCAGGGTATTCAAAGATCAGTGGAGTTACAATTACTTTTTCACACAGTACAAAGAAAGAGCTGTTTGATATGCCAGAATTTAGTGTCGGTGTTCAAGAAACACAATTTGCGGCAACAGTACGAAACTCCACATAAAAGATAAATATGATTGTTTGGTCGGGCAAGTGAGAAAAGATAAAATATTAAAACTGAAAAATGGATTGACAACTCAGCAAAATACTTTTGTGAAGCAAAAGCAGCTAAATATATCATCATTGTGAGCAAGTTTTCAAGTTGCCAAGCTCATAGCGCGCACTGGCAGACCATTCGTAGAGGGAGAATTTGTTAAAGAATGAATTATTTCTGTTGCCAAAGAGATGTGTCCAGAGAAGGCTGATTTATTTAGTACAGTGAGTCTTTCAGGACCTACAATTACACGAAGGATTGAAGAAATGGGGGAAAATTTGCATCTGCATTTGCAAAACTCCTCAAAAAAACATTGCTATTTTTCATTGGCACTCGACGAAAGCAATGATGTTCGTGATTCTGCACAACTTCTAATTTTCATTCGTGGGACAAATTATTATTTCGAACTCACAGAGGAGCTTGCTACACTGAAAAACATCAAAGGAACAACAACAGGAGAGGATATCTATGAAAACGTTTGCCAAACTGTGAATGATTTGGAGCTGGACTGGACATAAACTAGCCAGTGTGACAACTGATGGTGCGCCTAGCATGGTGGGGTCTATGAAAGGAGTAGTTGCACGCATTAACAAAGAGATGGACAAACACAACCATTCACATCCAATAGTCATACACTGCCTCATCCACCAACAAGCACTGTGTGGTAAATCACTGAAGGTGGACTCAGTCATGAAAATTGTGGTATCTTCATTAGAGCTCATGCACTAAACCACAGACAGTTTTAGAAATTTCTGTCTGAGCTAAATGTTGCCTATGAAGATATTCTGTACCATACAGAAGTCCGTTGGCTTCTGCTTTTATGCTTTCGAAAAACAAAGAAGTACCAGAGCTCAAAGATGCAGAATGGAAATGGCACCTTGCCTTTCTGACAGATGTAACCGAGCTACTCAACAGTTTGAATGTTCAAATTCCAGGAAAGGGGAAGCTCACATTTAAAGCATTTCCAGTAAAATTAGACCTCCTCATTAAACAAGTGAAGGAGGAAAACTTCTGCCATCTCCCCCCAACTCAAAACCTGTTGGCGGAAAAACCAGCAGTCGCATTCCCAAACAAAACATGTAGATTTACTAGAAATGTTGTAAAAAGAGTTTCAGATTAGATTTAAAGAGCTTCATCTCCACGAACAGGACATACAGCTTTTCCGGAACCCGTGTTCTATTGACATTGAAATTGTTGATCTGATTTACCAAATGGAATGGGCCGAACTACAGAATTGTGACTCTTGTGAGGGAATATATCTTGATTCCAATGTTCAGCATAATTGAGGCCTACATCTGGTGCTCTTTATATGTATTGAACTATTTTCTCTGTAAAAAGTGCTGTATACATGTCAGCGTATTTTTCAAACTATAGCCCGGCCCCCAACAGTGTCTGAGGGACAGTGAACAGGCCCCCTTTTAAAAAGTTTGAGGACCTCTTCCCTAATGCATGGCCCAATTATACACCTGTCCTCCAAACACACCTTAAGGTGGAGCCAAATTATACCCCTGTGCTCTGAGTACATCCTAATGCAGGGCCAAACTATTCCCCTGTCCTCCAAGCACACCCTAATGCAGGGCCAAATTATTCCTCTGTCCCCCAAGCACACCCTAATGCAGGGCCAAATTATTCCCCTGTCCCTCAAGCACACCCTAATGCAGGGCCAAATTATTCCCATGTCCCCCAAGCACACCCTAATGCAGGGCCAAATTATTCCCCTATACCCTGAGCACATCCTAAAGCAGGGCCATATTATACCCCTGTCCCCCAAGCACACCCTAATGCAGAGCCAAATTATACCGGTCTACTGGGGACACCCTAATGCAAGGCCAAATTATATCCCTGTCCTCCAGGTATTATTATATTATTTATATAGCGCCAAGAAGTTCCGTAGTGCTTTACAGTGGGTGGATGAACAGACATGTAGTTGTAACGAGACAAGTTGGACGCACAGGAACAGAGGGGTTGAGGGCCCTGCTCAAAGAGTTTACATGTTAGAGGGAGTGGGGTAAAGTGACACAAAAGGTAAGGATATTATTAGACTAATGACAGTTGCAAGAGAGGAATCAGTTGGGAGCTATTAACAGTTTAATTGATACGCTTTTATGAAGAAGTGGGTTTTTAATGATTTTTTTGAAGGAGTGGAGACTGGGTGAGCATCTAACGGAGGAGGAAGCGAGTTCCACAGGAACGGTGCAGCCCTGGAGAAATCTTGAAGGCGAGCATCAGAGGTGGGAGTATAGACGTAAGTCTTCAGCAGAGCGTAAGGGCCTAGACGGGACATACTTGTGTATAAGGGAGGATAGATAGGTGGGAGCAGCATTATGTAGAGATTTCAAAGCAAGAACCAAAATTTTAAATTGAGCTCTATATTTTATAGGAAGCCAATATAGGGACTGACAGAAGGGTGAGGTGTGGGAGGACAGGAAGATGAGCCTCGCCACTGCATATATTATAAACTATATGTACACCCTAATGCAGGCCCAAATTATATCAGTCTTCCGAGCACATCCTAATGCAGGGCCAAATTATACCTGTATACCCGGGGACACCCTAAGGCATGGCCAAATTATACCCCTGTCCTCCAGGTGCACCCTAATGCAGGGCCAAATTATACCTGTATACTCGGGGACACCCTAAGGCATGGCCAAATTATATCTGTGTAGCTTGCTCTTGGAACTTTCTGGCTTTGTTTTTTTTTTTTTTTGGTTGAAAGTTTATCTCTATATACAAAAGCGAATGCAGCTCAAATCAAAGAAAAATGTAATGCTGGCCATGATAGAAAGGTGTCAGAACACACAATGAATCGCAGTTTGCAGTGTATTGGGGCGTGACCATGACGATCCCTCCCCGTTGCTGAAAGCACCTTCAATAGGGACACGAGAGCCAGAACTGGACCATGTAGCAATGGAAGTAGATTGCCAGATCTGATGATTCACTTTTTTTTTTAGATCAGGGGGATGGCCTGTACATGTGCACAGTTTACCTGGGTAAGGGATGGTAGCAGGAAGCACTATGGGTAGAAGGCATTCCGGCAGAGGCAGTGTTACATTTACACCTACCTAGAGATTGTTGCAGACCACATTCCGAGGTCCTGTGAAGTCCATGTCAATGCATCACATCTGTTTTGGAAGCACGAGGGAAGACCTACATTATATTTGGCGGTTTTAATGTTGTGGCTGGTCAGTGTAGAGTTGACAGCTTCACTCACCGTGGGGTATTTAACAATGAGGTACAAGTGGAAAGAATCATCAGAAAAATTAATAGGGGAAAAAAAATCTAAGCTGTCTTTTATGCAGTTGAACCAACCACAAACTGATATAACAATTATAACCGCATCACTGTGATAAACGGTGAAGGAAAATATCACTGACCGTAAAAAAATGGGTAAAATAAACAACACATTGCTGTAATTATAACATGAGATCAGCCAAATGCTAAAATTGTTCAAATAAATCTATCTTTACACAGTTATATGCAGTTAGAACATTTAACTCAGGCCAATATGATTAATAGGTCACTAGTTATTTGCACTTTGTATAATCATTCCTCCAATTGTAGATAACTGATGGCAGGAAATAAGGAAATTACAAAAGTTCTTAAAAAAAATAAATTGTGGAAAGTATCATTCACCCCATTAATAACTCGCAGCTTAAAGAGGGCACTCAACGCATGAATGTGTTTGAGTAAATGCAGAGAGGTTGAATTCCAGAGCATTAAAGGGACACTAACTGCTTCATCTCATTGAAGTGGTTATAGTGTCTGGCGTCATCTTTCCATTGAATGTTAAACAGTTTTAATACTAAATGAGGGTTTCCAGCAGCTCACCGCCTCTGCTTGGACTAATCAGCAAGTATTACCCTGAGCAGCAATGGGTGGCTGTGATTGGTTGAGAATGCCAGCTGACAGCCTATCACAGCACTCCCTGCTGGTTTGAATTAATATAGCTAGAAGGAAGTGTGTAATATGTCCCTTGGCCACACCTCCACTGGGGGCATGGCTGTGTGTGATCGGGGGACTCTGTTAAACTTATCAAAAATGATTAAACTTTTACATAAAAACTCCAAACATTTGAAAAAAAAAACAAAACAGATGCATAACAGTGTGTGGATGCAGAATGGCTTTGTGTGTATGTGTGTAAGTATATAGCACAACAGTGTGTGTCAAGGGGAGTTTATATATTTGTATCTAGATAACAATGAATACACGTATAATATGTGAAATTATAGCGTTAAGATGAGTTCCTTTTGCAAACGAGGTTCTAAAGAACTGCAGAAGAGACCAAGTCAGACACATGGGTTCTTGGGATCCTGTCCTTATCAGGAGTTCACAGCATTTATAGGGTAATTGTTCTATACATGTTATTAATTATGGAATTCAATTCATGTCTCACATTATTGTAATTTAAGTAACTATTTGTTCTACTCAAAATAAAAACTTTGATCTAAAAAATAATTTTAAAAAAGTCAGTTACAGCAACAGACTGTACACTTGATAAAAGTCTTCAAGGAACACTGTCAGTAAAATGTATTTCTGACCCTATAGTGTTACAGCCACCATCTAGTTCCCCCTACCCCCTCAAATATCGCAAAATCGTATTTTTATTCCAGCCTGCAGCTGATGGCACTGCCCCTGATCTGCCTACTTGGCTGACATCATCAGAAGTGTCACTCAAAGCCAATCACAATGCTTTCTCACAGCAAAGCATTGGATTTTGCTGAGACGGTCTAGGAGTGGTCTAGGAGGCAGCTCGGGGGCAGAGCCAGCACAAGTCAAACACAGCCCTGGCCAATCAGCATCTCCTCATAGAGATACATTGAATTTATGCATCTCTATGAGGAAAGTTCAGTGCATGGAGACACTGAACTTTTCTATGAAAAGACAGTGTTTACTGAAAAAAGCCTGAAGGCAATGATTCTACTCACCAGAACAAATATATTAAGTTGGAGTTGCTCTGGTGACTATCATGTCCCTTTAATATAGACATAATTAAGAGAAAGGAGAGTGAAATTGTGTTTTTGTTTTATTGAGTGCCTCCAAGAAAGTCATTTACTGGAAGCATGATATTACTTTAATTCTGTAGGACAAAAGTCTTAAAGAAACTCTAAACACCAGAACCCATACAGCCTAATGTAGCAGGGGTGCGGCACAGAGCCTTTCCCTGCAATCTGACTACTGTAAAAACTGCAATCTCTGAGAAAAGGCAGTGTTTACTACTGTCCATACGGCCACCTCTAGGGGCTGTCAATCAGATAATAAAATACTCTGACAACTTCCGCAATCTCTTATGTAGTCAAACTCTGCATGACAATGCTGAACGCTTCCCATAGCAATGCAGTGAGCCAATTAACTATGAGGAGATGCTGATTGCTGTGCATGTGCACTTACCCCCCCAATGTGTCAGTGATATTAAGCTTTGCCAGGGGGTAGGAGGGGTGGATGTGACAAGATCAGCAGGGCAAGGAACCAATAGTGAGTAAAACGTCTTTATTTTACTTGTTATGGGGACCCTGAATCTGACCAGATAGGAAAACACTCAGCACACGTTTGTATTCCGAATGTTAGTGTTTCGTTAAATGTTGGTTGTGCTAGGTGACAGTCGAATGTATGTAAAAAATAGAATAAAAAGAAAGAAAAAGATTATGTGCTATACATAGCAACATCTACAGTAACACCAATGGAAAGGACCATGTTGATACCGAACTCGCATACTCCTCTTACATGTGAAAGTATATTATGTCGTAGAAACATTACCATCTGATTGTAGAAACAGCCCCATTGTATGCTCGACTCAGGACACTTTATTTAGCTAACATGGTGGGGGGACTTTTAGCTGCCATTTATTTGGTAGCGGGGCATTTGTGACAGCACAGTGTGGAGTCTGGAACTGCAGTGACCACTATAATGAATTTACTTATATTCTACTGGAAATTTTGGGCCATGATAAAACCACTGCATTTAGCCTTGGGAATGGGCTCAAGATTGTAGAAAATTGTGGTGGTAATGCTGTGTTAACACAGTTACTGCACAGGCAAATCAAGAAAGGTTTATAACATATACCATGCACAAAAAAATCCTGCTCAGCTTTGTCTGCTTTAATAAATGGTTCAACCATTCACTCTGTGCCTAAAATCTATAAAAGGCAAGTGTATTCTCGCTTCCTTCGAATCCCAGGAGTTAAAGGAGCCACGTGTCAGTGTGCTGAATGCAGTAACAGGACTGCAACAAAACTTCACTGAGCTCCAGGTAACTCTGTGTTGGCCAGCAAGGCAATAATCTGTGGGAGTTGAATACCTGAAGTTTAGGGGTCCCAGATTTTAAAAGGTCATACAAACATGTCCAGCGAGTCTGGAGCGCCACACGGGTTCTGCGATTTAGAATGATACCCCTAATAGTTTTCTTCACCCGGAGTTCTTTAAGGGAAGGTAAATCTAGATGGTTAAAGACAAGTCCACGGCTCTGAGAGACATCTAAAAACTCCAAAGACTTGGATTCCAGGGGATAGGAGACTCCAAGGTCCTTCACCGGGACCAAAATCTGAAGGATCAAAGTCTTTAACTTTGGAAGAGACCTTGTAAGTTTTTGCATAGTCTCTGGTTGGACCCCTTTGAACACCCAGAAGTAGTTTAACTCCAATGTGCTCAGATGTTGGAAATGTGTGAGGAGAGAAACTGAATGCTCTGACCAATCAAAAGGGAGTTTCATACGGCTCAGTTTTGGAGAAGTTCGGGTTAGCTGCTTAAAAAGTGTCTGAAAACTATTGAACTGGTCTGTCTTTGCCATGCATATTTGGGCCATGCTCTCAGGAGGATACAAATCCAAAGGCTCCAAGTGTGTTAAAGTCCAGTTCAGCTCCAGCTCTCTTAATTCTCCACAATGAACTCTGTCCAGGAACTGCAGAAGGAAATCTGCCCACTTGGTCCTTTGGTCACCAAGATCAAAGCTGGCCCGGAGGACCAGCAAGCTGGCTCCACGGGATGCCAAATGGTAGGCATATTGGTGCACCCACTCTTTCCACCTCTCAAACTCCCGAAACGATGCCAACACACCATCCATACCAGAGATAAAAGCGCCCAACCTCATGAAGTCAGCGACTCTCCACAAACGAGGAGTGCGCATCAGTTTGCTCCAGTTTGAACAAACCAGTGCAGCAGTGCATTTCTCAACCTCTGAGAGGAATGAAAAAATGTAGAGTTGGCAATCAACAGGCAATAGGCAAAACGGGAAATGAGTCTTCGTTTTTAACCCATTTTGGGAAGAAGATAATGTGTCAGAAGATGATGCCACTTCACTTTCATTAGTCTCTGATGAAGTAGAAGGGTCGTGGCGCTGAAGTTTTCTTTCTCTGTACATTTTCACTTCTTTCAACTTAACTTCACATACTTCTTGACTGTAGGGATGTTGCCTTCACATGTCCTAAGAGAATTGAAAAAATATACATGGTGGTAAATATGGCCTGACATTGGGAGAACACATTTAATTACAAAAGCAAAAATATATTAGGTATTAAAAACAAAAATGTGGATCTTATTTAACAATGTAGTAGATATACCCTCAATGAAAACATACATTTAATTATGCATTTTTTCCCACTCTGGGTATATCTAGAAACAGCTTGTATAAGCTGTAGTTCTTGTCTGCTGCTTTCCCCTTCTGACCCCAATTTATATTAAAATCTGCACTTTTTGTAAAATAAAAACAAGGACACACAAACTTTTAAGCTAAACTGCATTAGGGGTCTGTAGTATCCCTTTAAAATTTCTTAAGTCTGACAGCAATTATATAGTTAGCAGGGACGCAAACCGTACCCCGCGCTACAAACCGTGTCTGTGACCCATACCCCGCGCTACAAACCGTGTCTGTGACCCATAACCCGCGCTACAAACCGTGTCTGTGACCCATACCACGCGCTACAAAACCGTGTCTGTGGCCCATACCACGCGCTACAAACCGTGTCTGTGGCCCATACCACGCGCTACAAACCGTATCTGTAACGCATAGCACACGCTACAAACCGTTTCTGTGACGCATACCACACGCTACAAACCGTGTCTGTGATCCACAAGACATGCTACAAACCGTATCTGTGATCCAAACCACACTCTACAAACCGAATCTGTGATCCATACCCCACGCTACAAACCAGGTCTGTGATCCATACCCCACGCTACAAACCAAGTCTGTGATCCATACCCCACGCTACAAACCAGGTCTGTGATCCATACCCCACGCTACAAACCAGGTCTGTGATCCATACCCCACGCTACAAACCAGGTCTGTGATCCATACCCCACGCTACAAACCAGGTCTGTGATCCATACCCCACGCTACAAACCAGGTCTGTGATCCATACCCCACGCTACAAACCAGGTCTGTGATCCATACCCCACGCTACAAACCAGGTCTGTGATCCATACCCCACGCTACAAACCAGGTCTGTGATCCATACCCCACGCTACAAACCAGTCTGTGATCCATACCCCACGCTACAAACCAGGTCTGTGATCCATACCCCACGCTACAAACCAGGTCTGTGATCCATACCCCACGCTACAAACCAGGTCTGTGATCCATACCCCACGCTACAAACCAGGTCTGTGATCCATACCCCACGCTACAAACCAGGTCTGTGATCCATACCCCACGCTACAAACCAGGTCTGTGATCCATACCCCACGCTACAAACCAGGTCTGTGATCCATACCCCACGCTACAAACCAGGTCTGTGATCCATACCCCACGCTACAAACCAGGTCTGTGATCCATACCACACTCTACAAACCGTATCTGTAATCCATACCACACTCTACAAACCGTATCTGTAATCCATACCACACTCTACAAACCGTATCTGTAATCCATACCACACTCTACAAACCGTATCTGTAATCCATACCACACTCTACAAACCGTATCTGTAATCCATACCACACTCTACAAACCGTATCTGTAATCCAGACCACACTCTACAAACCGTATCTGTAATCCAGACCACACTCTACAAACCGTATCTGTAATCCATACCACACGCTACAAACCGTATCTGTAATCCATACCACACGCTACAAGCACAGTTACTAAAGAATAACTAGAGGAGGATTTATAGTACTTTAAAATCTGCCCTCGTTCGACAATATGGGCAATACAGAGAATAAGGGACAATAAATAATTCTGATAATTCATAATTTAAGTTAATTTATAGTGAGCTCAGAGTCTGATTGCAGGATGAGGCAGACTGTCCAGATTTGATTATAGTCACAGTTTGGATATTTTATTGTCCGTTCAGTGACACCCATACCCCCTATAGCCCCCTCCCCCCATACCCCCTACACTCCATACCCCCTCCATACACCCTATATCCCCCACACACACCCTATATCCCCCACACACACCCTATATCCCCTCCATACACCCTATATCCCCCCCATACACCCTATATCCCCCCCATACACCCTATATCCCCCATACACTGTGGCTGTGCAGTGGGGGCAGCACTGAGCACACTGGCGGTAGGTAGCAGGGCAGGCTGTGCAGGTAGGTGGGTCTATCCTGTATTGGATGATCTATCACTGGGCTCTGGGCTCACCATGAATAACAAGCTCAGTCCTGCTCTCTCAGCTCCTGCCATCTTCTTCCGTGTTTACTGAGCTTGTTGTCAATAAAGTTTAATGAACCAGCCGCTACAGCCAATGCAGCGTTATGACAGCGGAAGCCGCCATGTTACTACTCCCGGAAGTCGGTTGGTGCTGGGGAGGAGGTTGCGCCATCTTGGTACACCTGTTAATGGATGGAAGTTATTAGCAATTGGTGCATTCTGTTTGGTAACATTGGGATGTCAGAGCTAAACAATGGCTGTAAAACTCATGGGGAGGTTACAGTCTGCTCCTAAATTCCTCTATATCAATGATAAATAATGGGATTAACAATACACAGTGACAATATGAAGGGATTATCTGAGAGACAGACAGGAGGAGGGGAGAGGGAGAGGCTCCTAAATTCCTCTATATCAATGATAAATAATGGGATTAACCATACACAGTGACAATATGAAGGGATTATCTGAGAGACAGACAGGAGGAGGGGACAGGGAGAGGCTCCTAAATTCCTCTATATCAATGATAAATAATGGGATTAACCATACACAGTGACAATATAAAGGTATTATCTGAGAGACAGACAGGAGCACGCAGGGAGAGGCTCCTAAATTCCTCTATATCAATGATAAATAATGGGATTAACCAAACACAGTGACAATATGAAGGGATTATCTGAGAGACAGACAGGAGGAGGGGAGAGGGAGAGGCTCCTAAATTCCTCTATATCAATGATAAATAATGGACAACTATACACAGTGACAAATATGAAGGGATTATCTGAGAGACAGACAGGAGGAGGGGAGAGGGAGAGGCTCCTAAATTCCTCTATATCAATGATAAATAATGGGATTAACCATACACAGTGACAATATGAAGGGATTATCTGAGAGACAGACAGGAGGGGACGGGGAGAGGCTCCTAAATTCCTCTATATCAATGATAAATAATGGGATTAACCATACACAGTGACAATATGAAGGGATTATCTGAGAGACAGACAGGAGGAGGGGACAGGGAGAGGCTCCTAAATTCCTCTATATCAATGATAAATAATGGGATTAACCATACACAGTGACAATATGAAGGGATTATCTGAGAGACAGACAGGAGGGGGCAGGGAGAGGCTCCTAAATTCCTCTATATCAATGATAAATAATGGGATTAACCAAACACAGTGACAATATGAAGGGATTATCTGAGAGACAGACAGGAGAGGACAAATAGAGGCTCCTAAATTCCTCTATATCAATGAGAAATAATGGGATTAACCATACACAGTGACAATATGAAGGGATTATCTGAGAGACAGACAGGAGGGGGCAGGGAGAGGCTCCTAAATTCCTCTATATCAATGATAATGGGATTAACCATACACAGTGACAATATGGGATTATCTGAGAGACAGACAGGAGAGGACAAAGAGAGGCTCCTAAATTCCTCTATATCAATGAGAAATAATGGGATTAACCATACACAGTGACAATATGAAGGGATTATCTGAGAGACAGACAGGAGGGGGCAGGGAGAGGCTCCTAAATTCCTCTATATCAATGATAAATAATGGGATTAACCATACACAGTGACAATATGAAGGGATTATTTGAGAGACAGGAGGAGGGGGGCAGGGAGAGGCTCCTAAATTCCTCTATATCAATGAGAAATAATGGGATTAACCATACACAGTGACAATATGAAGGGATTATCTGAGAGACAGACAGGAGGAGGGGACAGGGAGAGGCTCCTAAATTCCTCTATATCAATGAGAAATAATGGGATTAACCATACACAGTGACAATATGAAGGGATTATCTGAGAGACAGACAGGAGGGGGCAGGGAGAGGCTCCTAAATTCCTCTATATCAATGATAATGGGATTAACCATACACAGTGACAATATGGGATTATCTGAGAGACAGACAGGAGAGGACAAAGAGAGGCTCCTAAATTCCTCTATATCAATGAGAAATAATGGATTAACCATACACAGACAATAAGGAAGGATTATCTGAGAGACAGACAGAGGGGCAGGAGAGGCTCCCACCTCTATATCAATGATAAATAATGGATTAACCATACACAGTGACAATATGAAGGGAGCCATTTGAGAGACAGAGGAGGGGGGCAGGGAGAGGCCCTAAATTCCATATCACGAGAAACAAATGGATTAACCACACAGTGACAATATGAAGGGATTATCTGAGAGACAGACAGGAGGAGGACAGGAGGCTCCCAAATTCCCCCATATCACGTGATAAATAATGGACACCACACACAGTGACAATATGAAGGGATTATCTGAGAGACAGACAGGAGGAGGGGGCAGGGAGAGGCTCCTAAATTCCTCTATATCAATAATTAATAATGGGATTAACCATACACAGTGACAATATGAAGGGATTATCTGAGAGACAGACAGGGGGAGGCAATGAGAGGCTCCTAAATTCCTTTATATCAATGAGAAATAATGGGATTAACCATACACAGTGACAATATGAAGGGATTATCTGAGAGACAGATAGGAGGAGGGGACAGGGAGAGGCTCCTAAATTCCTCTACATCAATGATAAATAATGGGATTAACAATACACAGTGACAATATGAAGGGATTATCTGAGAGACAGACAGGAGGGGACAGGGAAAGGCTCCTAAATTCCTCTATATCAATGATAAATAATGGGATTAACCAAACACAGTGACAATATGAAGGGATTATCTGAGAGACAGACAGGAGCAGGGGACAGGGAGAGACTCCTAAATTCCTCTATATCAATGATAAATAATGGGATTAACCATACACAGTGACAATATGAAGGGATTATCTGAGAGACAGACAGGAGGAGGGGGACAGGGAGAGGCTCCTAAATTCCTCTATATCAATGATAAATAATGGGATTAACCATACACAGTGACAATATAAAGGTATTATCTGAGAGACAGACAGGAGCACGCAGGGAGAGGCTCCTAAATTCCTCTATATCAATGATAAATAATGGGATTAACCAAACACAGTGACAATATGAAGGGATTATCTGAGAGACAGACAGGAGGAGGGGGACAGGGAGAGGCTCCTAAATTTCTCTATATCAATGATAAATAATGGGATTAACAATACACAGTGACAATATGAAGGGATTATCTGAGAGACAGACTGGAGGAGGGTGCAGGGAGAGGCTCCTAAATTCCTCTATATCAATGATAAATAATGGGATTAACAATACACAGTGACAATATGAAGGGATTATCTGAGAGACAGACAGGAGGAGGGGGCAGGGAGAGGCTCCTAAATTCCTCTATATCAATAATTAATAATGGGATTAACCATACACAGTGACAATATGAAGGGATTATCTGAGAGACAGACAGGGGGAGGCAATGAGAGGCTCCTAAATTCCTCTATATCAATGAGAAATAATGGGATTAACCATACACAGTGACAATATGAAGGGATTATCTGAGAGACAGACAGGAGGAGGGGACAGGGAGAGGCTCCTAAATTCCTCTACATCAATGATAAATAATGGGATTAACAATACACAGTGACAATATGAAGGGATTATTTGAGAGACAGGAGGAGGGGGGCAGGGAGAGGCTCCTAAATTCCTCTATATCAATGAGAAATAATGGGATTAACCATACACAGTGACAATATGAAGGGATTATCTGAGAGACAGACAGGAGGAGGGGACAGGGAGAGGCTCCTAAATTCCTCTATATCAATGATAAATAATGGGATTAACAATACACAGTGACAATATGAAGGGATTATCTGAGAGACAGACAGGAGGAGGGGGCAGGGAGAGGCTCCTAAATTCCTCTATATCAATAATTAATAATGGGATTAACCATACACAGTGACAATATGAAGGGATTATCTGAGAGACAGACAGGGGGAGGCAATGAGAGGCTCCTAAATTCCTTTATATCAATGAGAAATAATGGGATTAACCATACACAGTGACAATATGAAGGGATTATCTGAGAGACAGATAGGAGGAGGGGACAGGGAGAGGCTCCTAAATTCCTCTACATCAATGATAAATAATGGGATTAACAATACACAGTGACAATATGAAGGGATTATCTGAGAGACAGACAGGAGGGGACAGGGAAAGGCTCCTAAATTCCTCTATATCAATGATAAATAATGGGATTAACCAAACACAGTGACAATATGAAGGGATTATCTGAGAGACAGACAGGAGCAGGGGACAGGGAGAGACTCCTAAATTCCTCTATATCAATGATAAATAATGGGATTAACCATACACAGTGACAATATGAAGGGATTATCTGAGAGACAGACAGGAGGAGGGGGACAGGGAGAGGCTCCTAAATTCCTCTATATCAATGATAAATAATGGGATTAACCATACACAGTGACAATATAAAGGTATTATCTGAGAGACAGACAGGAGCACGCAGGGAGAGGCTCCTAAATTCCTCTATATCAATGATAAATAATGGGATTAACCAAACACAGTGACAATATGAAGGGATTATCTGAGAGACAGACAGGAGGAGGGGGACAGGGAGAGGCTCCTAAATTTCTCTATATCAATGATAAATAATGGGATTAACAATACACAGTGACAATATGAAGGGATTATCTGAGAGACAGACAGGAGGAGGGGACAGGGAGAGGCTCCTAAATTCCTCTATATCAATGATAAATAATGGGATTAACAATACACAGTGACAATATGAAGGGATTATCTGAGAGACAGACAGGAGGAGGGGGCAGGGAGAGGCTCCTAAATTCCTCTATATCAATAATTAATAATGGGATTAACCATACACAGTGACAATATGAAGGGATTATCTGAGAGACAGACAGGGGGAGGCAATGAGAGGCTCCTAAATTCCTCTATATCAATGAGAAATAATGGGATTAACCATACACAGTGACAATATGAAGGGATTATCTGAGAGACAGACAGGAGGAGGGGACAGGGAGAGGCTCCTAAATTCCTCTACATCAATGATAAATAATGGGATTAACAATACACAGTGACAATATGAAGGGATTATTTGAGAGACAGGAGGAGGGGGGCAGGGAGAGGCTCCTAAATTCCTCTATATCAATGAGAAATAATGGGATTAACCATACACAGT